AGACTTGGATGGCTTGTTTATCTGGAGTGCGTGCAAGAAATAGAAGGTGTCAATGTTCTGCATATAATCACCTTTCCTTATCTCTCCCTCACCCCGTTGTAGGCTCACTTCTCTGCCTTTGCCCCATTTTGCAGTGCTGTATGGCCGAGCTGAGACTGTTTACATTTTATGTAGGGCTTACGGGCTCTGCACATGTGGGTACAATCATTTGTCAAATGACAACAGGCACTGAGAAGAATTGTGTTCTTACCATCTTCATCTGAATGTCTCTAGTCAATTGCACAGGCAGGAAGAACAGCAAGGTTCATACAGCTGCTTCCTTGCTAATGTATATGACCTGTAGGGACCACATCCATGGCTATAAAAAGAACTCCGCAATGAGATTGTTAGCTATCAAAGGGGAAAAGTGCAGTGATGCCACTTAAGAGTAGTAATAGGGTAGGAGGCCAATTATTTCTGTACTTGGTTTGCATATTACATACATGAATGGTTACTGGTTTCTGACATGCCCTAGCTGCCTCTTTCTTGGCTTATACAGTAATTCCTCATTTAACACGCTAGATGTGTTTCTAAAAATGTTTGTGCTAAGCGAAAACGTGCTATGTGGGGTCAATTTTCCCATTAAAAATAATGGAAAAAGTGGGGGTTGCGTTTCAGGTGGTGGTGGCAAAGTCAATTTTTTGTTGGTGCTGGGTCGTCAACGTCAGCATTAGATATCTAGCAACACAAGTCACCACGGTTTGTTAAAACACAAAGATAAACGTGTCAGTGAGTGGAGGAGAGCTGTAACCACGTGTATTCATCTGCGCATGCGTATTACCACCATTGTTTTCACCAATTTATAGCGCTGCGCGAAGTAGTCTGCCACTTGATTATTTTTCTGTTATTTTGGGGACAGTTGTGGTATTCAGAAAACGTTCCCTAAAAAAAGTTGTGCTATTGCGAAAACGTGTTAAGTGGGCATGTGCTAAACGAACAATTAATTACTGTATTGGATATGTGTGACCCAGCATTGGGTGGAGAGGACCAGTGTGTTTGGAATGCCTGAGGCGTACCAGTGAGTCAAGCTCTACCTACAATCACAGACCCCACCCATGCTCTCACAGAAGCTGAGACACTTTTCTCCATTTAGCTCGGTGGCAAATTAGTTTCCCTGCCATCTCTCTGTGTGTCTCTCCCTGCAGATTTGGGCAGACAGACTCTGGAGTTACATTGGGAAGGATTTCTTCATTGGCGGCAGTGCTAAAAACTGGGTTCCTTTTATTTGAAATGGCCATGAACGTTCAGCAGAAACTGCTATGGCAGGTCCCCAAGAGCAGTCCCATTCTGTATCCTTGGCTATGTCTAGACTGCAAGCCTCTTTCGAAAGAGAGCGTCTAGACTGCACGCGGAACTTTCGAAAGAGCAAGCCGCTTTTTTGAAAGAAAGCACCCAGTGAGTCTGGATGCTCTCTTTCGAAGAAGCCCTATTTACATTCAAGAACGCCTTCTTTCGAAAGAAGCACTTTCGAAAGAAGGCGTTCTTTCTCGTGAAATGAGGTTTACCGCCGTCGAAAGAAAAGCCGCGTTCTTTCGATTTAATTTCGAAAGAACGCGGCTGCAGTCTAGACGCAGGTGAAGTTTTTTCGGAAAAAGGCTACTTTTCCCGAAAAAACCCCTGAGTCTGGACACAGCCCTTGAGTGTAATGGCTTATGCCCCCACCCTCATGTATGTCCCCTCAAATGAAGTGTGTGCACATGGGCATGCAATATATAAAAAAGAAAGTGTCCCAAAAAAGGATTTTTTTTTTTTAAAAGCTTCTTGGCCCCTGCATGTACCATCCTTAAGTGGATGGATTCCTGTCACTCCCCTGTCTTTTCTGAACCATAATAAAATAGTTCTTATTTCCATGGCAACACCAGGAAGCTGGCATCTGGCATGGGAATAGCTGGTCTCTAGAGCAGCTTGTCTCGTGCAGGCTGCCGGGCCCCACGCTCACAGCAGACGGCAGTTTCCCTTCCTTTATGAGTTGTTACCTTGCTGCTCAGAGCTAATTGAATTTCCAGTGCTGGAGACTGGCCATGGGGGGAGAAAAATGGATTCTGAACAGCATTGTTTTCTAGGTCACCTGGGATACCAGATTTGTTGTAGTTCAGAACCCAGCAGCCAGATGAAACCTGTTTTTTTTTTTTTTTTCTTTTGGTATAGGATCTGGGTGTTTAACTTCCTTGTGCAAAGAGACTGACAGCATGTTTGCTCTATAAATAAGGAGTGGCCATATGCTTTACTCTACCAGCAACAGTGGTATTCAGAGCCTGAATGACAACTGTATCTGATTTCTCCGATCTCTTCCCTTTTTGCTAGTCCTTTTTGTTCCATCATTTGGCTTCACTGTTCCCTCGTTGTATCCATGCTGTCTTACTCCCTGCCTTACTTGCTGTCCTCTACAAATGTATAGCAAAGACATATAAAACAAAAGGCAGCAGCTCCTTACACAGGGAGCTGACTCCATACTCAAGGGGTACTCACACAGCCAATCCAGCTATAGGGGAAGGAGCTCAAGTCTGCACTGTCTGCTATGTCAAATCCTCAGCCTCAGTGTTGCCAAATGTCACCATTTCATTTCAAGTCTCTCATTATTTAGTTTTTCCTTTACACCCTTGGGTCCTAAAGTTGAGGTAATATAGGAATATTGCTGCTTTAATTTTTAAATACAAGTTTTGTTTCTAGCCTTCATAGCTGCAGAAGTCACTTTGAAGATGTGATGGAAAGTGCCTCAAAGGCTCTGAATGCAGAAGGCAAAGAAAAAGGCCCGGCGCTTATCACGATTTAAAATCTCATGACTTTCTGAGGCCTGATACGTAATTTTTGAAGGCAGGGGGTTTGGCAATCCTGTGTCTGATTACAGAATCTTTATTACCAGTGACGAGAGATATGGTAGAAAGTGGCCTAAAAGTCAAGTGAGGCTCAAGCTGTGAGAAAGTGTTGATGTAAACTGAGTCCAAATTAGCCTGTAAGTCTGTAAGCAAGAATAAAAATGCCACATGCTTTCTCAGGTATTATTGCGCTTCAGTGTGCATCCCACTCTTTACATGCACTTGTAGACCTTTGATCTGGGTGTGATCACTACAGATTTAGTTTAAGCATGGGGCCTGATCTCAGTCTCCCTTCTGTGTTCTGCTATTGTTGCCATTATGGTGTGCAATGGCACTTTTTACAGGTCTAGCTCTTAGGCGTAGAAGTCTGACGTGTGGCTGAGGAATAGTCTGTAGGCAACAGAGATGCCTGTTGCTGTCCTGGTGAAAATTCCTAAGTTGAAACAGCCTATGCTTGGTACATATTTAAGTATTATTCCAAAAGCTTTAATTGCAGTCGCCTAATATCTCCAATGACTTGCAAAAGGAAGCTGGTAGCTTGTGTCAGTAATGCATGCAGCTTCTGGAAAGAACTTTTGCAGCAGGTTCCCTGCAATTGTGAGCAGAAACACAGCTGGGCCAGGCAAAATGCTGTTTGCTTCTCAAAGTAGGGATGTAACAGTGTAACCATGTAAACAGTTAACTGATAAGCTTGGGCTTATCTGTTACCATTAACAGTTACATGCAGGCTTCTTGGGAGTGGAGCCAGTAGCCAGGAGTGGGACTGGCTGCCATCCCGCATTGCTGCCTCTGATTCAGAGGTAGCAGCAAAGGGCAACACCCAGCTCCCTGGGAGCGGGGCAACAGGCAGAAGCTAGTGCGTGCTGGGAGTCAGCTTAAAAGAAGGCTTCTGGCACACACCGGCTCCTGGGGAACCTGCTACTGCACTGCATTGCGGGCTCTGCAGTATAAAACTTACCGGCTGCACTGTGTGCTCTGCAGCTGAAGCTTTATACTGCAGAGTCTGCAGTGTGTAACTGCTGAAAATCTCAGCGGTTACATGGTTACCTAATTAAGCATTTTATAACATCCCTATATCAAAGCAAGATCTGAATCCAGAGCTTTCTATACCACAGCACTCCCTACTGGAGCTGAAGTAGTCATTTCTTTTTACCTGTCAGCAACAGTAGCCTCTTACCCTCCTTCTATTGCAGGGAATACACAACACTCCCTCAAGCAGTAGGCTACACTGATATCTTCATTTGAAAAAAAAAAAAATCCTTTGACCTAAGAGAAGCAAGTATCAATAATCCTTTATACAGACAGGGTAAATAAGGAAAATGGAAGTTTCATAAGGTCACGTGGTAGAGCCAGCAATAGAATTTCAGTCCCTGCATGTAGCTGAACCTATCCTTCTCCACACTGCATCTTGTTAAATTTAGACCCTATCTTTGTGCTTGACTATGCTGTCCAAAAACCTTCCCCATAGAACCTCAAGAGAAGCTCCACTGAGTTGGCCTGGCAAATAGCTATCTATCCCGGAATTAATTCAGTTTGGACCATTGTGTTTAGCTGGTGAATGAGACAGGGGGAGGGGAGTTTGCAGGAAGAAAAAGATGACCCCCATGGGTAAAGATTGGACTGGGATCCAGAATGATTGGGGACGGCGCAGGCCTGCCTGGCCACTCTGATACTTGGCATAAAACTTTCAAACTGGCAGTAGTGATTAGGTGCTACCATTGGTAAGATGAAGGCTCATAAGAGGCACTGGCTATTTCTGGAACAATATTATCCAGGCTGACCCCTGAATCTAACTCACTGAGATGCCTGTCTTTGCTTTGCCGATGACACCAGCCTTGACTCATCACTTCTCCCGCAAGCACCTTTGTGCATCTCTCTTGCCACCCCTTGTATGCGGGGAAACCCAGGGACATCTCCCAGCAAAATTTGTGACCTTGCCACCTTCTCCATATTAAAACCTACTTCTGCTGGGACCACTACAAATGCTGTGTCTGGGTGAGGAAATGTCCAGTTGTGTATTCTGCTAAACCCCTGTGTGGTGCCAGAGAGTAACAGAACAAGCGAGTGAAGCGTTCCCATCTGGGACTGGGGCAGTGTGTTGTGTCGTTTCCACTACCACTGTCCTTTCTGTCTGTCTCCCCACAGGCGGATGCAGTGCGGGTGTATGTGAAGAGCGACTCTGAGGACTTGCAGTATCCCGTCCTGTTTGTAGTTCGCCAGCAGAAGGGGGTCCTGTCATGGCAAGTGCCTCTGATTTTTCGAGGCCTGTAAGTGGCGGAGATTCTCTTTCCAGTTTGTAAGGGGTGGGTTGTCCCTCCTTCCCCAGTTGCTAAATCTCACCCTTGTACTTTAGTCTTGGGGTTCTTGGTGTGGTGGCTTGTTAAAGTTTTCCATGGTCTCACAATTGCTGGCATCCGGCCCATGATTTTTCTCTTGGACAAACTGACTGACTCTTCCCATTGACAAGGTAAATTGAACAGATTGGTTCAACTTAGCAATGACTTGTTTTCAAAGTGTGCAGGGCTTCCCGGCCCCTGGGTCTCCTGTGTGCAGCAACACTGCCAACTGCCATGCTATGGGCTACTCACAGTTGGCAGATGGCCTCTGCATTTGCTCATCTTACTCGACATCTCACACTTCTCCCCCTTGTCTCTCAAATGCTGAGCAAAATACAACATGCTGAAAAATTACAAGGGAGATGCTTCTCAGAAGCATTGAGCTGTGGCATTGAGCATTTCAGTCTAAGATGCACACCCCATACCCATGTCCAGATGTTTGGAGGGGTGCAGATAAAAAGTTCTTGGCTCTTGTCCAGATTTTCCTTTATCTGGCTTCCTCAGCCAGGGGAGCAGATGGTAGGCTGGTCACCCAGAATAAATCTCCACAGTTGCAGGAGGGAACATCTTTGCATTGCAATTTGAAAACTGGTGAATTTCTGAATATCTCCTCAGCATAGATTTTTCCCGACCATCTGTCACTATTATTGGTGAACCTGCCTCTGATCCACCAAGGCCTCCAGTTTATATATGGAGATATATACCTATTTCAGAACTGGAAGGGACCTTGAGAGGTCATTGAGTTGAGTCCAGTCCCCTGCCCTCGTGGCAGGACCAAGTACCATCCCTGACAATTTGCCCCAGATACCTAAATAGCCCCCTCAAGGGTTGAACTCACAACCCTGGGTTTAGCAGGCCAATGCTCAAAGCACTGAGCTATCTGTTCCCTCCCCTTCATAAACTGAAGGGAGTGGCTTCTAATTGGTACATGCATCCCATCACTGGCACTTGCATAGCTCAGGAACTGTAACTGTTCCTAACCATTGAGCTCCTTCCTGCCACACGGTGCTGTAGTACATAACAGAGAGGCAGGCATGCATGTCTCCACTGCCAAAGTGGTTTCCAACTGACTGGTAGCAATCTGGGGTTAAGCTTCCAATTGCTAATCCCCGTTCACTTCTCGCTGCCGAGGTAGGCTCTAAATCAGGGGCCCTCGTGCTGCAGAGTCAGGGCGAGCTGAGCAGTCCCAGGGAAACGGCCTTGCTCAGCCTGAGGTTCTGAAGCCGTTGCTGGCCAGCCTGCCCGTGTCTAAATAACTCTGCGAGAGCCAAAGCAGGGTGGTTTTTTTTGGTTTCATTCTATCTGGCGGCTGTTGGCTCTTTCCCCCTTTTGGCTGCTGTAGCTACCAGAGGACCTACAACTACCAGGAAGTGAGCCGCACGCTCTGCCCTTCGGAACCCACCCCTGAGACGGGACCATCTGAGCAGAGCATATTTGTAGACGTGGCTTCTATGGCACCGTTTGATATTGCGTATGAGCTGCGTGTCACCCGGCTCAAGAGCTTCCAACTCACGTAAGCAGGGTCTGTGAGTGTGTGCCAGTGGGATTGGGGTGTGGGTGCGTGTTCATGCAGGGCGGGAACTGCTCCACACACATCTAGGTAGACACAAGCATGGCGCCTTCAGTGGCGCTCCCTTCACATCCTAGCAGAGCACACGAGACAAGAAACCTCTTTGTGGGTGGCCCAGGCAGCTTCATTTGGGCCGTGAAAGAGGGGCCCCCCTCCCCCGAGGGCACTGGTGTCCCAGCTATAGCTGCTTTAGACCAAAGCTTTCCTGAGTTTGGTTCCCCTGGTAAGCTCCCTTCTAGCTGCAAGGTACCAGCGTCTCTCCTCTGAGCCACTTACCTGGTGGGCTCACCCAGGTTGTTCCTCAGGATCACCATGAGTCCGGGCTCTGTCTCCCCAGAAGAGGGGAACGCAGCACCATCCTCACACTGACACAAGACTGTGCCTCCTGAATGGGCTTGGGCTCACGGGTGTCCCCTGGCTTTCATCTCTGTCTGAATTGTCCGGGTAAGGGGAAACTCATGCCTTGGGTGGGAGGCAGTCCCTACATTCCCACGTGGGGTCAGGGCTAGGGCTTGAGCTTGGAGCTGCCCTGTTTTGTTACCTCTTTAGGCTAGGAGCAGGAGGGGCCGAGGCCACTTCCTCCTTCTTTCTAGGAGCCCCCAAGTCACTCCCTTTTCCTGCATAAATACCTGGCCTGATGAGAGTAGGTGGAACTCTTCTCTCCAGCGAGTGGGCTAAGCCTCAGGATAGGGTGTGCCATCTGTCTGGCTCTCTTCCATGGGAATGAACTCCCTACCTGCCTGATACAGCATAGGATGCACATGCCTCATCTCTGGATGGTCATGGATGTGCCACACCCAAGTGGTCTATTTTTCTCCTTGTTTTCACTTCCCTGGGAGGGTTTAGGTAGGATCCAATTTCTCAGTCTCCCCAGCAGCTATTGGGGCTGTGTTTTCCTTCTTTGCTATTCACCTGTTGGTCCTTTGTACCAGCCCAGACAGTGACTCCTGCCTGGGTTCTCACTGTCCTCCAGGAAGTGGTCCGATGATGGGTGAGGACAAAGCTGGGAATCCATAGCACAGAGGGGGATGCTTACCAGTTAACCTTTCACAACTTTCTTTTTTAGGACAGACAAAGCCTTTAACTTCACTGCCAGCCCTTCTCAGCCTCAGGTAAGCAGGAGCCCTATGGGCCATCAGCTGCCTCTGTCTCTTCACAGACAAATGGGTTCCAGTATAATCCTAGCCATTAGCGATGGCAACGAGTTCTTGGGATCAAATCTGCTTCCCTCACCGGGTGCAGTCTAGTCTGTTGCTCTGGCATCTGCATGGGTAGTGTGAAAGGGTAGCACTAGTGGTGGTGGAAGGTGGGAGCATGGCCTTGCCTATGAGGCCTGCCTTTCAATCAATTTTGTAATTTCCCCCACCATCATCTCTGCATCTCCCACAACTCCTAGGGTTCTTCCTCACCTGCCAGGCCTGGGAGATGAGGAGGAGCTGCAGCAAGGTCCCCTCTTCCACTTCCCAAGCTGTGTGGTACCTGGAGAAAGAGGGAGGATCAGCAGGGGAGCCTTCCTGTCCCCATTTCTCACAGAAAGGAGGGGAGACTCCTCCTTGTTCCTGTGAGAATGAAGTTGGCTTTTGAGGGGGTGGATGGTGGATGGGTAAGAACTCTGACTGCTTCCCACAACAGCCCTGATTGGCTGCTCTTCCCCAAGAGATGGGCAAATAGGGAAGCAGCAAAACAGACAGGCCCTCCTAGCTGCAGCATTAAAACTGTGCCCTCCTCCCTCAGTGGTCTGGTTCGCTTTTTTTAAGAAAACTTATTTCCCAGATGCTGTTACTCTTGGTTGTACCAGGAAGGTAGCATTTCGATTGATTCATGACTCACTGATAGGTACAGACTCATGGTTCAGTCCAGACTGCTAGAATGTCCAGGCCAGCAACTATCTGGGATTTTCCTCTGCTGCCTATTCCAGCACAAGCAGATTTTTCTCTCACAGGGTCATTGGAACAACTTTCTCCATGAAAACTAGCCACCACCATAGGTGTGGGGATTCAGAGGGTTTCTCTCTGCAGTTGAATGGAGCAGTCCAGCTCGTGGAACTAGTGCAAATTAATCTAAGATCCAATCTGTAGAGGCCTGCCAACAGATCCCTGAAGTGGCCTGCCAGCTGGAGATCATTGTTGTTTGCAGAACAAAGCATCTTGAATTCTGTCCGCTCCTCAGTCATGAGTGGCAGTGGGAAGGCTCCTTACACATTTGCATTTAGATGACTTGGGTTTGTGTCCTAGCAGACACTATTATGTGGGGCTTTCTACTTGGCAAGTCTTTTACTAGGTACTATGGGGTTTTTTTGTTGTTGTTTTAGATAGTGATATTTCTCTGCCTCTTGGGCCTCATCTGTCCTTTCGCTATTATTTAGAGAGTTACATGGGCTCTCACAAAACAGGGTCCTTGGGCAACACATGACATTCAATGTTGGTCAATGCAAAATATTTAAACATAAATACAAAATTATGGGGTCTAAATTAGCTGTTGCTGCTCGAAGATCTTGGAGTCATTGTGGATACTTCTCCAGAAGCACCTGCCTAATGTGCAGCAGCAGTCAGAAAAGCTAACAAAGTAGGGAGCCATTAAGAGATAGAGAAGACAGAAAATATTCTGCTTCTATATAAATCTGTGATGCTCACACCTTGCATACTGCATGAAATTCTGGTCACCGCATCTCAAAAAAGATAGAACTAGAAATGGAAAAGGTACAGAGAAAGGCAACAACAATTATTAGGGGGTAAGGAAGAGCTTCTATATGAGAAGATTTAAAAAAGAAAAAAAAACGGAGATAGCTCATCTTAGAATAGAGACCACTGAGGGGATATGATGGACATGTATAAAAGCATGAACAAATGGGAACACAGGAAGGTGCCAAGAGCTGACAACTCCAACTCAAGTCAGTGAGATTTGCAGATGCTCCACGTGTCTCTGGATTGGGCCCTAAAATTTAGGTGCATAAGTAGCTAGAACACATCTTTTATTTTTGCTTACAGGTCATCTTCTACCAGATCTGTACTCTTGTAAGATGTGCTGCAAACATGGGGTGCAAGCAGAGAGAGGGCACAAAAAATAAGTTTAAAGCCACCTTTGCACTTTGCTAATTCTGACCTGCTCTGGGAGCCGGTGTGGCTCCAAGTGCAAATTACAGCATACCTGGCTGCTTTGCATAGCTACCGATGGGCATCTCTGTAGGCAGGAAAGCTTCAGCACCGGACACTCCAGTTACTCTCCTGGTGCATCGTCAATCACCCCAACATGCCCTGTACTGGGATCTGCAGGAGGTTGCTTACAGACTGCCTATCAATAGAGCCTTGCCAATCTGTGTATATCCACTTTATATCTGTCAGTATCCGCAGCTCATTTTTGAGGCTGTGGATACAGGGCTCTACCTTTCTGTGTTAATTCTGTACCTGAGGAATTACCAGGGGGCTGTTTCACCCCTTTTACACTCAGTGTAAAGTCTTTCATCCCAGATGATGGTGAGATATCTATGTAACTGGTTCTCAGGATCTGTTGGCAGGCACCTGCAAATTCTTGTGGTTTTCGGCCAGAACAAAGGGACTCTGCATAGATCTGAATGAACAGGTTCCGCTGATTTTTTTTTTTTTTTCCAACTGCTGTTTGCTAGGAGTCACAGCTGTCACAAAGACAGATTTTCGTTTTACAATGAGCCCTTCATGTCTGTAAAATGGATATAAAAGTGGAAACTGGCAGACTGTAAAATTCTAGTTCGGTTCTGTTTTGAGCTCAAAATTGGAAGCAGGGAAAGGAAAATGATTGATTCTTGCCTGTCTCCAAAGATGGGCGTATGAGGATTTGCTCATTTATAAGAGCTGTGAAGTGAATTTAATTATTCATACATCAGTGGAAGAACTGAGATTAGAATTTATAGTCCACTGTACCATAGACTAGCACACTTTCTCCAAAATGAAAGGGTGTCTTGCAGTTGGTGCTTTCCTTGTGTACTCTCTGGAGCCATTCAGGAAAGCATGTTCAGTGCAGCTGAAATATTTGGAGATTTTAGTAGCCAGTCTCTAACACCCAGCATTGATCATGTTCAAATGGCAATTTTCACCAGGCTTTTATTCTCTGGCCAAATCTGGATGAATTTTCTTAGGGACAGAAAGGCATTTCCGTGACTCCAGGATTATCCTTTGGACAAGGTTTTTAAATTCCAGCATGGAGTCACTACAGTTCTTCAAAGAAATAGAAAAAATTGTTAACATTGAGGTTAGGGTAGCCTTGACATTCTCAGAAATGGTGAAAGCAATATCACTGAAACATTAAAAATCAGCCTGAGGAGAAAAGAGCAATCACTGAGAAATTTCCAGAATGGTTACATTTTAGCTAAGTCATAAGCAGAGGAAAGTGTTAGGCAGTCACGATTTATAATTTACAGTTGTTCTCCCATTTCCCCCCCCGCCAAATAAAATAGCATTATAGATGGTATAGAAATTGCTGGAGGCTGATGTCATGATTTAAAACACTTCATTTTAAGATCCCATCTTTTAAACATTATCTGAAGTATTAAGATGAGCAGAAGTTTTGCTGCAACTCTGGTGCCATAAAGAGCTCAGGGATTATACTCTGTGCATAGAGGGAGTGGTGCAGTCTGTACTTTACACCAGGCCATTGTGAGGCATGTAAAGGCCTAGTAAGACACTTGAACTGCAAGCGTGTGTCTAGACTGCATCCCTCTGTCCACAGAGGGATGCAGATTAGGCACATCGAAATTGTTAATGAAGCAGGGATTTAAATATCCCGTGCTTCATTAGCATAAACAGGGCTGCCGCTTTTTTCGACATGGAGCTTTATCGACAAAAAACTGCAGTCTAGACGCAGATCTGTCGAAAGTAAACCCTTTTTCGACAGATCCTGTATTCCTCAAAAAAAATGAGGTTTACAGGATCTGTCAAAAAAGCCTCATTTTTTTTTGAGGAATACAGGATCTGTCGAAAAAGGGTTTACTTTCGACAGATCTGCGTCTAGACTGCAGTTTTTTGTCGATAAAGCTCCATGTCGAAAAAAGCGGCGGCCCTGTTTATGCTAATGAAGCACAGGATATTTAAATCCCTGCTTCATTAACAATTTCGATGTGCCTAATCTGCATCCCTCTGTTGACAGAGGGATGCAGTCTAGACGTAGCTCAAGTGAGTTGCTGGTTTGTGGAAGCCTTTCGTGCCCGACCTCTCAGCCTAAATACCTGGGGCTGTTCTCTGCTCTTGGGGATGTTACGGAATCCTGGCAGAGGGAATCCTGAACTGTGATGCACAAAGGGGGACACTGATCCTGTCTCTTCTGCAGTACTTTCTGTACAAGTTCCCTCCAGAGGTGGATTCTGTCATCATCAAGGTGGTATCTGAAACCGTCTATCCTTGCTCCGTTGTCTCTGTCCAGGATATTGTGGTAAGTTTAAAGCAGGGGTGGGAAACCTTTTTTGGGTCAGGTGCCACGGACCCACAGAAACATCAGCCGAGGGCCACACGCAAATGAGAAACACAAAAAAAAAAAAAATCCTCACTGATGTGGTCCCCAACTGAGAAGGAGAAAGACCCTCCCTACATACCCCTTGCACACCAGAGCCTCATGGAGCCCAGGCTGGTAGATTTTATGTGCTCCAGCCCCACAGGGGGCTGGAGTGCCAGCATGGGCATCCCAATGCTGGGTGGGGAGCCCTGAGTCTCAGGGACTGGATCCAGACAAGCCAGGGGCTACATCAAGCCCCTGGAACTTATTTTCTCCATCTCTGGTCTAGAGAGAGGGTTGCCAGCCTGCAAGGGCAGAGATCTAGAGCAGGGGTTGGCAGCCTTTCAGAAGTGGCGTGCCAAGATTTAACTTATTCTCTTCTATTTATGGATCTGCATGCCGGGCAGAGGAGGGGGAAAGGGTAGGTTGGGTATGGTGACCATATTTTTCTGAACCAGCTACAGCTAGGGAGAACGGTTTAATTTAAATGATCAAACAGACTAAGTGTTTTAACTTTCTCATGTTTGTTTCTCATGTTAGTTTATCAAACTTAATTTTAAATAAATTTAATATTTGACTTTATGTCCAACACTAAAGGTTCCCATGTTTTCTTTATTTGGGGAAACTTTTTTGAGTTGGGGGCCACTGACCAACAGAGAAATCAGTTGGGGACCACACGAGTGAGGAGCAAAAAAACTCCTTCCAAACCCCCCAACCCTCACTGATGTGGCCCCCAACTGAGACCTCTCACTCCTCTGATGCTCTAGCCTCACAGGGTGAGGAGAAGGGGCAGGGAGGACTGAGGTTCAGGGTTTCCCATACGTCAGATTTACTTTTCTAGGGTTCTGAAGTCAGTGGATTTTATGGACCGCCCCCCATTAGGCTCTGGGGTAGGGACAAAAATGAGGGATTCAGTGTACTAGACAGGGGTGCAATGGAGTGGAATAGGGGTGGTGTGCAGGATCTGGGAGGGAGGTGGGTTGCAGAAGGTGGACAGGTTGCAAGGTCTGGGTGGGAGGTAAAGTGCAGGAGCAGGCTGGGAGTAGGGTGTCTGGCCAGGTGGAGGGAGCAGGAGCAAAGGAGTGTACAGTGTGTGACCAGGAGAGAGGGTACAGGAACTGGGTGGGAGTAGATGTCTGGGGGGCAGGGTGGGAGTAGGGTGTCTGGCCAGAAGGAAGGATGCAGGAACAAAGGAGGGTGTTGGAGCAAGCTGAGGGTGCAAGGTCTAGGTGGTGAGAGAGGAGCGAATGAGGGGGATTGGGATGGGGGGGGGGATCTGGGCAGGATGGGGAAAGCTTACCTGGCTCTGCACCCTTTGGAGCAACTGCCATGGCCACACAGTCCTGGGCTGGCCCCGGAGGCACCGCTAAGGAGCTTCAGCCCCAGCGCTGCCTCCTCCCACTGCAGCCTAATCTGCTGCCAGGGAAGAGGAAGGGCTCTAGGGGAGGAGGGGCGGGGCTGAGCTTCCACTGTGTGTGCCACTGACAATCGGATCACATGCCACTTATGGCGCGTGTGCTGTAGGTTGCCAACCCTTGATCTAGAGGGTAGGCTCTCTGCGTTGCTGTCCTACCCCTGGCACCATGTGTGAGAGATTCCAACCCAGTCACGAGGCAGCCCTATTTGTCCCTGCAGTGTCATCTCTTTCGTCCCATTCTCTCTCTCCAGTCCTCTCCCAATCTTCTCCCAGTGTTTGTTCTCTCTCTCACCTGACCCTCTCCTGCCCTTCCTCTCTGGCACAATCTCCCACCTCAGTCCTTTTCCTGAATTTTTGTCTATACCCTCTGGTCCTCTCCCATTCATGACTGCCTCCCACAAGGGGAATTTGTGGATACTCAGGCCAGGAAGCAGCAGTAGTGGCCACCGGTGCTATGCAAGACAGAGAGATACACTCAGGGCAAGGGAGCAGTGAATAGGGGAGGGAGAAGTGGAGGAAGCGGCCTTGAGGGCTGGCTGAGAAACCCGCAGAGCTGCCATTAGCTGGGAGAAGAGGATGAAGTGGAATCTGTCTGCAGCCCGGCTCTGGAGAGGCCTTTCAATCACGCGATGAGAAAGAGACAAAGGGGGTAAACGTGTGGCTGTTGCTCCCCATGGCAGGTATAGAAAAGGGGAAAGAAGGTGCCAGAGGGTCTGTCATGAGGACTGGGCCTAGACTGAGAGTAGAGCTTAGGTTGCAAATGTCTTTTCCACTCTGCCGGATCCATGCCTTCTGCTAAGAGATTCCCAGAGTCATTGCCCTGGCTGTGCCACAAGCTGTAGCTGAAGCTGGGACCTTGCGGAGGGAGGCCACCAGAGCTCTGGCCATGGTGTTGTCAGCACAGCTTCACTAGCTCCTGTGCGCAGCTGATGTTGCTGCCTGGGGGACTCCAGTAGGGTTACCAGATGGTTTAAAAAACATAACAGACACACTTAATCTCAGATGGGGGAGGAGGGTAACTGGCCAGTGGGAAGCGGGGCTGGCTGGAAGGGGGTTAGGGGGAGCAGGGCTGGCTGGGGGGGAACCAGCTGGCAGAGAGTGGGACTGGCC